TACACTAATAAAAGAGAAAGATGCAAATTGACTGTGCCTTGCGATGCCCCTCCAGCCAATCAGGAGTGGGTATGCAAATTAACCCAACAAAGATGGCAGGTTAATTTACATACACAGGTGCCGAGCAGCCAGGGGCAGAGTGGGACACTTGCATCATATCCATGGCAACAATGCACTTTAAGTAGCAAGGACAATAGGAGCAAAGTTAACTCAAGGTTAAGATCTGGAAGGTGCCAAGACTGGTTTGGCTCAGTGGATAGAGCGTCAGCCTGAGGATTGAAGGGTCCCAGGTTCGATTCTGGTCAAGGGCATGTACCTTGGTTGCAGGCACATCCCCGGTGGGGGTGGTGCGAGAGGCAGCTGATTGATGATTCTCTCTCATCAATGTTTCTAACTCTCTATCCCTCTCTCTTCCTCTTTGTAAAAAAATCAATAAAATATATTTAAGAAAAAGAAAAAAAAAAGATCTGGAAGGTGGTGTCAGGGACTTTGGAGCAGGGAGTCGATCTAGAACACACAAAGGGAAGAGCCAGGAGGTTACCAGGCTCTCTCTGCTTTTTGGAGTCTAGTCATGGCAGGCCATGCCACACACACCAACTCTTCAACCAAGTGGGGATGATTCAAATGATTGTAGTAAAGAACAAGAGTCCCGGTTCCCACCAGGTGCATACTGTTACTAAAATGAATGTAGGTCAGAATTCTCCTCAAAGAGGTCTTCCATAACCCCCCTATCCAAAATTACTTTTCACCCCTATAGCCAGATGGCCTGCCCCGTCATCCTCCATCCTGCACCCTCTCTCCTTGCACAGGGATCACACATGCGCCATGACTTAAAGGCTCTCTTCATCTTCTCCTGCTCCACCTCCCAGTAAACCTCTTGAACACCTAATCCCACTTTGCCATTTGCTTCATGGCAGATTCAACCTAATGCAGGCTTCCTCGTCAGAGAAATGCTCCCTCTTCCCCTGTGCTACGAGGCTTTTCCCACCTGGAGTGAAGACTGTAATTTGTGGGAATAACTTGGCAGAGGTTGGGGAAACCAGTTCTCTTCATTCTTCCCCCTAACATCCCTCATTGCCTGAATCCTAGCAGCAGTAATGTGCTGGAGACAGCTTCTATCACCTCACAAAAGCCAACTTAAATTTTAAGAAATTTAAATTGGTTGGTAAACACAGTCATTATTAAATACTAGAGGCCAGTTGCACGATATTCGTAAAAGAATAGGCCTTCCTTCCCCTGGTTTCACTCCCAGCCACCTACGAGCCAGTAAGTCCCCACTCCCCAGCCACAAGCTGGCAAGTCCTTGCTTCTGTCTGGAGCACCACCCCAGTAGCTCCCTCCACCACTCCCCTTCCTCTCATAGCAGGCTTCACACCACTCCTTGCCTGCATATGCAAATTAACCTCCATCTTTGTTGTGTTAATTTGCATACTCACTCCGATTGGCTGTGGGCACAGTGGAGTGATGGTTAATTTGCACGTTTCTCTTTTATTAGGTAAGATTCTTAAAGTTAAATAAATTATATTAAGACCAATGGTAATTAAACACTCAAAAACTCACCAACGCCCATTATTACATATCAAGGACCAATAGTTTTATTGCTAGCTTTACCCAGTGGCCAGATAAGTTTCTATTGAACGAATACAAAAAACGTTTTACATAAATGTTAAAGGCACTCTTTAAAATGAAATACCCATTGCATTCTGAAGTTATTACATGATCTTACAAGCTAATATCATTTTTAAGTATGGTACTTTGTGAAACACTGTGTAATATGAAGCAAGAATTCTCGCAATGTGTTAACAACTTCCCATTATCTCCCATTATCTATGCACCTGAGGTTATTTACATCTCTTATATCTGGACGCTGGAACTAAAGTGTAATGGTGCTCTACTTGCACTTCTCTGGATTTCGGAGGCCAGATTTAGATGCGCTGTTTCAGCTCTTCTCTTTCGTAACTTGAGAGGTTGCCCGCACTGCGGACAGCCTCGAGCAAGAGAAGGCTTTCGCTGGTCCAGAAAGCCATGGCCTCTGGTCCACACACCCAGTGGGCCTGACGCACCGTGGCACACAGGCGTGTTGGCACCCTCAGAAAGCGGATCAGAGCACGGGCCCCAGGGGTTTGCCGCCGAGCCAAGAGCTCTGTGGCGCAGAGCTGTTTTCCTTTTGAGAAACGAGTCTGGATGTGTTGCTTGGCACCAGTAAATACAGCAGTGTGTCAGGAGACATTAGGTAACCAAGCAAATGGCGCTCATCCTAACCTGGGGGTCACCTGATCCGCCAAGTCACAGAATCACCTGCCATCGAATGCGCTGCACACTGCGCCAGGCTGTCTGTCTCCTAAGCACTTCACGTGTCACGTTGCCTTCAATCCTCCCCACAGTTATCGGTGATAGTGCTGTTATTGCTATCATCCCTACTTTATTTCATTATTTTATTATTTTTAAAATATATTTTATTGATTTTTTTACACAGAGGAAGGGAGAGAGATAGAGAGATAGAAACATCAATGAGAGAGAAACATCGATCAGCTGCTTCCCCCCTCTGCCCCCTCTCCCCCACTGGGGATGTGCCCGAAACCAAGGTGCATGCCCTTGACTGGAATCGAACCCGGGACCCTTCAGTCCGCAGGCCGACGCTCAATCCACTGAGCCAAAATGGTTTCGGCAATCTTCTCTACTTTAGAAAACTGGCACAGAGAGAGGGTAAGCAATTTGTTCCGTGATCACATAGCTCCTAAGTAGCAGAGCTTGATGTGAACCTAGGCCCTTTGGCTCCAGTCTCATTACGAAATTATACTGCTTCTTGGAACCCGGTGGAGGTTTTCTGTATGGGACTGGGCTTGATCAGGATCTGAAGACACAGCAGATGGCATGGTGTGCTCGCTCCTACCCCCCTTCCATTCTTCTCCAGCCGGCACATCTGACCTGGGGACGTCCTCTAAGTCCAGGTGACTAAACAGACAACTGGCACAGTATGATGGCAACAGCACAAGAGGCTTGCCACTACTCTATTACCCCAACTCAGGGGGGCCTGAAGAACCACAGAGAAGGGAAATTTTGCAGTAGACAAAAATGTTAAGTATTTCACCCTGATGACCACTTTGTCTGAAAAGGGGAGACGGTCTGAGGTGTATATTTCAGTAGCTGATCGGTTTAGCTCAATAATCAGCTCAACAACCAGAGACTTGGAAGGAAGAAGAAGGTAGAGCTGGTGACAAGCATATTAGGGGGAAGCGGCATGCAGGGGGCCTCTCAGAATGGGTCCCAGGGGATGAGGGCATTTGGTTCCTTGTGAATAACCAGGAAGAGGCCTCCCCTGTGGAGGAAGCACTCAAGAAGCAGGTGCGGAGGCTGGCCCGTCCTCTGCATCTCAGCCTGGCTTCTTTCTCCAGGCATTCCCACGGGGCCCGTGGGCATGGAGGCAGGCTGCAGGCTGCATGTGGCTTCAGCAACTTGGATTTCCCCTCGCCACGGCTGATCTGGCTACTGTTTCTGCTGAATATTTAGTTGCCCAGCAGTTAAAACCAAATTTGAGTTCCTGGTATGAATTGGGCTTGCATGCAACAGAGCCAGGGAAAGAAATGGATTCTCTCCAGACCACCACTGCCAATATGCCATCTTCTGCTCAGCACTCAAATGTCAGAATCCTGGTGCTGAAGGCCAAAACCCTGCCCCAGCTCGGCTGGCAGAGCTGGATGCCTCCTCCTCAGGGCCTGGGGAGCAGCAGCTCTCCCTTGGCTGCTGTGGGTACCAAACCTAGCAGCCTGTGTGGTGAGTTGAAACATCAAAGGAGTTTGGGAAAGGTGGCTTTCCTGTAATAGAAACTTATTCCAGACCTGGATTTTCTCTCCTGATGAACAAACTTCTGCACACACCAACCTTCACAGACTTCTGAATGCTTATTCACCACCATAGATATTTCACCGAACGTTGGTTCTTGCTAAGAAACGAATTTTACGGCAATGGGCTCACACTATGGGGTTCATTGCTTCTATCATGTACTCCATCACCCTCATGTCTGGCCTCACAGATGGCATGATAAAGACTCACAGAACCAGCTGTCAGTCCAGCATACAGATTATCGAGATGGGCTCATGACAGACCAGTGAGATGAGAGGTCACCATCCAGAGACTTCATATTTGAAGGTAAATAAAACTGATAAAACTCTCTACACAAGATCATTTTACTAAATTCCTTTTTCATCAAATTATTCAAGAGTGAGTTTCACAGAGAAAGTTCTAGAAGAAAATATTCCAACTAGAGGCCCAGAGCATGGGATTCGTGCACTGGTGGGAGGTGTGGGCTATGGGGATCAGCTTGCTGTGGGAGCGCAGCTCATCATGGTCAGCCAAGCTGCTGTGGACTCATCCTCAGAGCCACTGCTCCCTCTGTGGGAGTGCACTGACCACCAGAAGGCAGCTCCTGCATTGAGCATCTTCCCCCTGGTGGTCAGCATGTGTCATAGCGACTGGTCAAGCGGCCGTTCTGGTCATTCTGCCTTTCAGTCGCTGGATTTTTATTATATAGGATAATTGAAGAGTGGTTATTATTGCCTCCATAGGTATCAAGTATTTTCTACATTCTTTTTGTTAGTCTATATTTTCTAATTTTCTTAACATGAGCATTAACATTTTTATTATATTTTATTTTTATTGTTGACATTACAGAAGTCTCACATTTTTATTGTTGACATTACAGAAGTCCCCCTTGCTCCCCTCCACTCAAACCCTCCCCCTCACTCAAATCCTCCCCCCTCCTCTGGCCCTTACGACATTGTTGTCTGTATTCATGAGGATATTCTCTTAATCTTTCATCCATCTGTTCCAGAACATTAACATTTTTTAAAAAATATATTTTTATTGATTTCAGAAAGAAAAGGAGAGGGAGAGATAGAAACATCAATGAAGACAGAGAATCATTGATCACTGCCTCCTGCATGCCCCCCACTGGGGATCAAGTCCACAACATTGGCATGTGCCCTGACCTTGAACCCTGACTTCCTGGCACATAGGTCAATGCTCAACCATTGAGCCACACTGGCTTGGCCAGAGCATTAACATTTTTAATAAAAAAATAATTCTAAATAATTATTTTAAAATGTATGCCATCTTGAGTTTCCATTAAACTTTATGATTTGTGGCCTTATGTTATAGGTACACAGTTATTATCAAGACTAACATGCCTTAAAAAGGAGGAAATCCTCAGTAAGCTTAATTCAAAATGAAAGAAAATTGTAAAGAAAGAATAAAGCAAATATTCACTCAAAACCAGGGAAAAATAATACTCTAGGAAAAAGCAATAGAACAATTCTACTTTTATTATAATCTTATTTATGTTTTACAAATAATTGATATAACTAAGTTAAATTTACAATGCATATAAGAAGACTATATATGAATATTGATCTCATAGTTGGCAAAAATATATAAAATATTGATTAACAAAGGTAGAAGGCCACTGTGAAATGTTCATAAGCCTTAGGTATAAAATTTATGGATATCATCAAGTCAAAGTTTTACATCCATGGTGGGACACTCATCCTAAATTTTGCGTATGTTCATTGAGAGAGAAAAATAGCCAAATGCTATATAGTAAATAAAATCTGTCTAATCATCTTACTAAACTTTTTTTTTTTACTGATTTTTTTACAGACAGGGAGAGAGAGGGATAGAAAGTTAGAAACATCAATGAGAGAGAATCATCCATCAGCTGCCTCTTGTACACCCCCTACTGGGGATGTGCCCGAAACCAAGGTACATGCCCTTGACCGGAACTGAACCTGGGACCTTTCGGTCAGCAGGCTGATGCTCTATCCACTGAGCCAAACCGGTTTTGGCACTAAACTCTTCTATGATGAGTTATTTTCCAGGAGTCTTATTACAATCACACTTACATTCCTTCTTGGTATTTATGTTCTCCAGGAACTGAAGAAAAAAAGGATGAGAAAAACTTAATTAGGTTGGCAAATAAAAATTGTACAGTCCTGCCAACAGGCACAATCACACCCAAATTCACAATTTCACACTCTATAACATATATCCTCATAGTACTCAATATCTTATGTTGGCAATTAGACCATGATAGGTGGTGAGTTTTGGAAGGAAGCTGCACAACATCAGAAATACTAAGATCTAATTTACATTTCTTTGGTGTCCAAGCCCAGCCCAGCCCAGCCCAGCTCAGCACAGCCTAGTGCTGCTCATCCCTGCTATTAAAGCCTGGTTCTTACTGTGTAGCAGACTTAATGAAGCTTGGGTAATGCATAGAGCAGATAATCCAGCAGCAGATACTGGAATGTGTATATTAGTATGTATGCACATATAACACATGTGAATCTGTATGTTATACACAGTGTACATAGACATTATAGGAGTTACAAGAGAATGAATTTTCATATATAAGTTTAAAGAAGTAATGACAGTTTGTGTGTGTGTGTGTGTGTGTGTGTGTGTATATATGTGTGTGTATAAATATATATTAACTTTAATAGATTCCCTCCTCCCTTTTAGTCAAAATCTTATTGATAAAGTAGAGAATATATAAAAAGCCAGTGACCAGAATGCTGTAGTGATCGGAACAACTGGTAGCTATGACACCAACTATGGCCAGTGAACCAGCCAGATTGGAGGGTGGGGCTGGCCAGCCAACCTCTCACGGCCCCTCCCCTCACATGGCCCCAACCCAGATGGGCCCCCCATCCCAATCAGGGGCAGAGCTGGTGGGCCAACCATCCATGGCCCTTCCCCCAAGCCGCTAGACCCCGATGGCCCCTTCCCCCCACCCCATTTTGGGGTGGGGCCGGCCAGCCCACTTCTCAAAGCCTCTCCCCATGGCTGAAACCACCCCTGATCAGCCCCCACCACCCCATTGGCCTGTGGACCCTCCCTGATCAGCCCACAGCCCCTCCCCACAGCAAGCCCCGACCCCAATCAGAGGTGGGGCCCACCCACCAATTACCCTCGGCCCCTCCCCCAAGCCCTTATTGGGGCCGGGTTGGCTGGACCCTACCCATGCATGAAGTCATGCACTGGGCCTCTAGTGTAAGAATAAAAGGCTTGAGTGACAGGTGTTCTCAGAGGACTCAGATGTAGCCAGAAATGTCATCCCTCTTTAGTTACTGTAGCTAAAAGAGTATAGCCAGAATGTCAGGCATGCTTCCTTTGCCCAAAATTGAGCTAAATGTTCATATATAGAATGGATGGAACCAACCCGGGACAAATCAGAATGGGAAAAAAAAAAAAAATGTTTTGCCACTAACAATGTTAAGATAGAACTATGAATCGTTACAACATCAAGAGCAAATAAAGATATTATATAGAGTGTATATATGGGTATGTATGTAAATATACATCTACATAGATACATAGTCATGGCAAGAGGAATATATAAAGATACATTTATATATCACATAATTATACTTATGCTTAAGTATACTTACATATATAAATATATAATCATATTGTTACAGAAGACCAGAGAAAAACCAAGCCATGCTTAGAGAAAGGGAGTTACATTTTATTATGCGCAGGCCCAGAGGAAAATGTGCCTTTCAAATTCTGGGGCCCCCAATATGGAGGAAACTTTTCCTACTTATATCTTTTCTAGCTCTTTTGTCTCCCAAATTTGGAATGAGACTCCGGGCCTTCTGGGAAAGAAGGCCTGCGTGCTGGGAAGGGGCCATGAGAACATATCTCAAGGCCTGGCCCGGTGTCAGCACTGACAGCTCTGTCTGGGGCATGGTCCAAGGCCTCTCTGGAATGGGAGTAGTCTTGTTTTCCTTATTATTTAAGCAAGCATATGTTTACAGAAGCCGAAATAGCAGGGCTACAATTTCAAACAGCAGTTTTTAAATAAGATGGATAGTTCAATATAACTATGTAATTATATAAGCATATTTCATATATCATATGTATAAATATACTATTGTGACCTTATACAATAGAATATTTATACATATGTTATTTAGATAGGTTATTATAAGTGCATAAATGTGTGTAAGTATATTAAATATACATCACTGATGCTGAAAGCTAGAGGAGAAATTTCATCCCAGCTATGCAATGGAGTCTTTCAGCCCCATCTCTTCCTCATGTGCTAGGCCTCCCCTCACCTTGCCTAATTTAACTTTGAAATCAGTCTGGATCTGAGCCTAGTCAACATATTTATTTGTCAGTAAGTATAAGCTGTTGTTAACTCTTGGGAGAAAAGAAATTCTGTATCCCATTTCCGGGAACTTCCACAGCCTTGGCCTCACGGCCTCGAGGCCTCTGCAGGCTGTGCACACAGAGGACACTGGAGAACACGTGACTTACTGCCAGTACCAGCTCTGTCTCTGACTGGGCTGGTGCAGAACTTCCTGCTAAATGGTCCAACCTCCCACTCCACCCGTCACGGAGTCTTCCAAGGGGGGCTGCTCCAGGTGGGAGGCAGCTGGACCAGCTTTGCAAGTGAAGGGAGAGGAAGCTGGACAGGCAAAAGAGAAAATGGGAAAAAGACAGAAGCTCTTGGTGTGCCCCAGGAAGTGAATTCTTGCACTGGCCTGTTTCCACATGAGGCCGACAATGATGATATTGTCCATGCCAACCCCATTTTGTCCTGATACAAGCCACGGCTCTTTGTCCTTAGATAAGAAAGCAAAAGAAGAAAAGGAAACTAAAACACTTCCTAGAGAATTCAGAGTGTTTTAGTAGCTGTCAGCATTTGCATGGCATATGCCCTGTACACAGTTCCCTTTTACTTTGGGCCCATTGAGGCCAACCCCAAGGCAGGTGCATCAGCAGGGAGACAACACCTCTGACAGCAGAAACCGAATTGGCAGAATAGAAAGAGAAAAATGCCAAATCCTATCTCTTGGCTCCTATCTGAGGAAAAGCATCTTATCTCTTTCTCCCAGGAGCCTGGGGCCTGGTGTTCTGATTTTGTCAGGGTGCTGAAGCCTTCCCATGAGCAACCGAGCCCCTCAGCAGGTCTTTCTGAAATGACCCTTGACTCACACTTGGCATCCTGTAGCCCTTCCTTAGAATGAAATTCCTAAAGGCAGCTGGCCCGTGAAGCTTTGCAAACTCCTCCTCCTCCTAAAAGAAAGTTCACATGTTGAATTAACTACTAGCAGTCAGAAGCTTACTTTCATCCTTGTCCTAATCAGAAGCATTTGAATATTTATTTTTTAAAAATATATTTTATTGATTTTTTATAGAGAGGAAGAGAGAGGGATAGAGAGTCAGAAACATCGATCAGCTGCCTCCTGCACACCTCCCTCTGGGGATGTGCCCGCAACCAAGGTACATGCCCTTGACCAGAATCGAACCTGGGACCTTTCAGTCTGTAGGTCGACGCTCTATCCACTGAGCCAAACCGGTTTCAGCGAATTTGACTCTTTATAAAATACCTCAGGTGCGTAGGTTACATTCACAAGTTAAAGAATACAAAGGCTTTCACAAGATGTACAACTTTCTCTTCTTTCCCTACCCCCTTTCTAACCCCTATATTAAGGATAAGTCATACATTTTAGCAATTAGACAATTACTGACCTAAAATGTCTGGAATCTATCCAATTTAAGAACAATTGTGATACTAAGGTTTACATTAGTCACAAAGATATATGAAGCCCTATGTTCAGTGCAGCATTATTTGCAGTGGCCAAGACATGGAAACACCAATAAATGGTTGGATAAAGAAGATGTGGTGCATATACACAATAGGATACTACTCAGCCATAAGAAAAGACGAAATGCTGCCATTTGGGACAACATGGATATATCTTGAGTATATCATGCTAAACAAAATAAGCCAAATAGAAAAAGTCATGAACCAGTTGATTTCACTCATATGTGTGATATAAATCTGAAAGCAACAATGAATAAACATGATAAAAGAAACAAAAATTCATAGGCCACAAACAATAGGGGTCAAATATATGGTGATGGAAGGAGACTTGACCTTGGGTAGTAAACAAAATGCAATATAAGATTATGTATTACAGAATTACTAGAGGCCCAGTGCATGAAATTTGTGCACTGGGGGTGGGGGTGGGGGTGTTCCCTCAGCCCAGCCTGCATCCCCTCCAATCTGAGATATCCCTCTCACAATCTGGGACTGCTGCTGGCTCATAACTGCTCACCTGCCTGTCTGCCTGATCACCCCTAACTGCCTCTGCCCCCCGACTCCCCCAGCTGGCCTGATCACCCCAACTCCCCCCCACACACACATTGCCCTGGTAACCCCCAACTGCCACCCCTGCTGGTCTGGTTGCCCCCAACTTCCCCCCTCTGCCAGCATGGTCTTCTCCAACTGTCCCCCCTTCCCCCGCTGGCCTGGTTGCCCCATGCAGCCTGCTATTGGTCATCCATCCAGTTGTTTCGGCCCCTGGCTTTTGATATATTAGGATATTTTGAAACCTATACAATTTTGTTCACTAATGTCATCCCAATAAACTTAAATATGAATTTGCTTTTCTTCCTATAACTGGTAGAAAGCCCCCCAAACCCTTGGATTTCCTAAGTGATAAGAGCCACCAAGGTGAAAGGAGAGCCTTTGTTATTCATAACAAACCCTTTTCAAGCACAGGGGAGTTTATGTTCCTGAGGTGATTTTTGGTGAGCCCATAGGTAGTCCCATGAAGGGGGCTGGTTGCCAGAAGAACCAACCATGTGAAGAGAGGGTTGACACTCTCAGCTCCACTTCCCAATGGCCAACCATCAATCATTTCTGTGTAATGAAGCCTTAATAAAAGCCCAGAAGGATGAGGTTGAGAGAGCTTCCAGGATGGTAACCGTGTGGAGGTTCTGGCACACCTAGAGAGGGCATAGAAGCTCCATGCCCACCCCATCCTACATCCCTTGTCCTATGTATTCCTTTCTGAGGTACATATGGCTGCTCCTGAGGGTCCCTTTTATAATAAAACTAGAGGCCCTGTGCACAAAATTCATGTATGGGTAGGGTCCCTAGGTCTGGCTGGCGATCAGGGCCAATCAGGTTCCCTGCGCCCCTGCCCACATGCCACCACCTCACAGTTACCCCCATCTCCTTCTTCCCTTGCCATCCGCACACCCTGCCTCCACCACTAGTCACCTGCCATGTTCCACACCACCCCCTAGTGGTCAGCACATATCATAGCAAGCAATCCAACTCCCGTTCTCCTAGTTGAACTCCCAAGGGGACACTTTGCATATTAGCCTTTTATATATACAATATATATAATAATCTGATAAACTGTTTTTCCTGAGTTCTGTGAGCTGCTCTGGCAGATTATTGAATCTGAGGAGGGGGCTGAGGGAACCTGCAATGCATATAGCCAGTTGGTCAGAAGCACAGATTGCAACCTGGACTTAAGATTGGCATCTGAAGTGAGGGCAGTCTCATGGGACTGAGCCCTTAACGTGTGGGATCTGACTCCATCTCCAGATAGATAATGACAATATTGCATTAAATTGTAGGACACCCAGCTGATGTTCAGAGAATTCCTTGGTGTGTGTGTGGAGTGAGGGAGGGACCTAACCCATTTGGTGATTAGAGTTGAGAGTGGTAGAGGAAGAAACAGAAGTGTTTTTCTTATTCAACAGTATATTCACAATTTTTAGATCTTAACTCCAAAAAGCATGGTTATAAAAATAAAAAAAAAAGTCCCAGTATCTTTGGAGTATTCATGCATTCATTTGTTTTTTTTTCCTTTCATTTATCTGAATTTAAAAGTTGGATAGATAAGATTATATCATTGTAATTCAGTTCTTTAAGAGCATTTCACCTTCCAAACAAACTCAATCAGCAGCAGTCAAAACTCATGTTACCAGAAAGACAGCCATGTCATTATAGTGACTGTCCCTTACTAGCACAACCCTGCACCTGTGTCCTGTGAATTGGGATGCCATAGCCAAGTGGCCCTCCAATATACAGGTACACAGGAAATCAATCTTCAGGTATTACAAAAGTGTGACTTACAAAAATCATTATAGAACGACTCTGTTGCTTTGAATCCTTTTTCTGTATAAACTGTCTGATAAACCATCTTTTACTATAATAATTATATCAGCCATATTTCCTAAATTTATATATTACTTTTTTTAGTATATTTTGTTGTCAAAATAAAATATTTTTGGAAAATTATTTGTTTTTAACAATTACTCTTTAAGAATGTATTTCTAAAAAGAGAACTTCTAGATACATTAAAAGGTTTGTAACAATTTTTTTCTTTATATTTTAAAAATGCAAATGAAATAGTTTTATGTTATGTATTAAATTCACATAAATTTAGATAGGCAGCTCCAAAAACATACACCCAGGAATAGTGCTGTATATTATTTACATTATTATCTCAAAAAAAAAAATTAAAATGACCATCCTTCCCCCAATCTAAAAGAGGCAGCTGATGAGTGATTTATGAATGAATGAGTAGCCAAATTTGTATAGCATTTTACTTTTTCAAAGTGTTTTCACATTGAGATCTGGGAGAAGTTTGGAGCCCGTTGAAAAGGGGAAGTGTTTTACAAATATTCACATTAGAGTCCTGCACAAGTGTTGTGTCAACATCTCCAATTTTCAGGACTGCAGTGAGGATCTTCTTTCCATTAGGTACTTATAAACAAGAGATCAGCAGGCAGAGTTTATTTGTAGTAGAACTAGAGCACATTTTTGTTGTTTATGATATCCTCTCCTCTCGGTTCCTGCAACTCTGCAGAATTGCATAAAAGAAGTTTCCTGATTGCAGTTTTGAAATTCTTTAATATTCATTCACTATGGATAAAAAAAAATTTTTTTTAAATAGGCCTCACATTGTGTTACTCACAGAGAACCCATGACATTATGTTTATCCTGAGTACTGAGGTGGTCCTACCTGGTCACAGCACCCTTTGGACAGCCAATTAATCCATGGACCCTGGACCACGCATGAAGTACAGTGAGTGGTTGCCCCATTTTTGGAGATATTTCTGCCCACCATGAAGGCAGGAAATTTCCAGTCTTGCTTATTAGACATTCCCTATCTAATGAGTTGGTATTCTCATGGCTGGATTTCCTATAGAAGCTATGAGACTTTCAGAAGCCTCTGCATTATCCAGAGACTCCACCTGCAATATGAGCTTGCAGTTGCACTGATGTTTAGTTCAGATGATCAAATCACAGCATACACACATACCTGTTTCTTCTGCTCCTTTCTTAAATTCTCGTCTTTGTGTAAGGCCTTGGGGTCAGTCAAAGGTTCATCTGCTCTTTGTCTTTTCCACAGTTTTGGGTGCAGATACCAGGCTCCATACCGCATCTTCACATGCTTTGGTTTACAAGTATTCTATGGAAAATAATGTAATTCCCAATTTCATTAGTAGTTTTTTTTGTTTTGTTGTTGTTGTTGTGTGTGTGTTTTTTTTTTTTTGGGGGGGGTCGTTTTGATAAAAATTTAGCTTATTAAAGCAATGTCATTCATTTTGAATTTATGATTTATCCTTGCCAAAGTATTTTATAAAGCTTCAGTATACTTTGACATGAAGAGTTTGAGATTGAGAAAATAATATGGTGGATTTAGAGATATCTGATTTAAAATCCAACTTCCTCCACTTAGCAGATATTAAAGTTGATGGGCAAGTTACCGTATTTTTCGGACCATAAGACGCTCCGGACCATAAGACGCACCAGTTTTTAGAGAAGGGAAATGAAGAAAAAAAGATTCTGAAACAATTAGTGTCCTAAAATATTTTATGTGCATTAAAATCCAACATCACAGTCATAAACACATGTAATCAACCCTGTAAAGTAAACAGCAGCATTTAGAACCATTTTAGAGCCGGGCAAGCACACAGAGACCACACAGAGCCGGGCAAGTAAAAAAACTTTTTTTTTTTTTAAGTATATGTGTAGGCTATATTTGGACCATAAGACGCAGGGACTTTTTCCCCCCACTTCTGGGGGGAAAAAAGTGCGTCTTATGGTCCGAAAAATACGGTACTTAAATTCTTCATCTGTAAACTAAGATAGCAGTATCCACACATAGGGTTGTTGAAAAGATTAAAGAAGATAATTATAAAAAGCAGCTAGAAATCATGTAAAAATCACATATTTTACCAAAGGGTAATGACCCTAAACAACATTCAGTCAACCAAAAGGATAAGTTACTAGCCCAGTACTGTGCTCAGCCTTGTAAAACTACTATCCAACACCCATCTCTTGCCTCTTTAATTAGAAGGAAAAGGAGGGTCCTAGCCATTGTGGCTCAGCTGGTTGAGCATTATCCTGATTCAGGTCAGGCACATGCCCAGGTTTCAGGGTGGATCCCCAGTTGGGTGCACACAGGAGGCAACTGATCAAAGTGTCTTTCTCACATCAATGTCACTCTCTCCCTCTTCCTTCTTCTCTCTTTGAAATAAATAAAAACATTTAAAAAGAAGGAGGAGGAGGAGGAGGGGGGGGAGGAGGAAGAGGAGGAGGAGGAAGAGGAGGAGGAGGAGGAGGAGGAGGAAGACTAGATGCCATTCCTTTCTTTCTCCCATTTCTCAGAAGTGCATCTGTTGGTTCATTCCTGGATTCTATGGACTCAGTAACCACATATTGTCTCATCTCAAAGGGCTGGGGGCGAGGGTCTAATGCTTGGGAGCAACAAAAAAGCAAAAAACACAAAGATCCAGCCCTTCTCTCTTCTCACTCACATTTGAACTATGAGGTGGAATGTGTCAGGTATCAGGGGTCCAGCCTAAAGCAGAGAGGATGGAGCAGGCCAGGGAGGGAAATCCCACTCCTCAGAGCTAGATTCGCATTGTGATCCCTCCATTCCCAGCACAATGACCTCCTGGCTGTTTCTAGAGCACTTCCTTCCTGCTTTTGCCTCAGGGCCTTTGCACTCACTATTCCTTCTGCCAGAATGCTTTTTACTCAACATTCCCCACATGACTTACTCCCTTACCTAGTTCATGTGATCTCAGTAGTATACTTCCTGACCATCCAGTTTAAAAATTATAACCACCTTACAACAGTCCTGTCTTCTTTCCCTGCCTCATCTTTCTCACTTATCACCATTTGAAATGCTGTATGTTTTTCTGATTATTTATCTCTCCTTTCACCCTCTAAAATGCAAGCTTCTGAGATTGTTCTGTGCTACATCCCCCTGGCATCTAGAGCAATACTTAAGATACAATAGGTGCTCAATAAGAAATTGTTGAATTAAAGTCTGATTCCTTAACTTGAGCATTATTGACATTTTGAGCTGGATATTCTTTGTAGCACTCCCCAAATTGGGATAACTAAAAATGTCATCTCCAGACATTGCCAAATATCCTGGGATTGGGGGGCAAAATCACCCCTGGTTGAGATCCACTGAATTAAAGGAAGGAGGGAAGGGAAGAAAGGGAGTAGGGAAGGAAGACTTACTGAGTCTACACTATGTTGTGTTCTTGGGTATAATAACTGGTGTTCTTTGAAGACACCACAAACATAGTATCTTCTATGAAGCCTTAACTGTGTTTGGTGAAACTGATTATTTCCTCTGTCCTGTACAAACCATGACAACATTTCATTGTACAATAGCTAATCATTTACCTCTTAATCCTACTAAACTCTAAGCTCCCTAAGTGCAGGAGGTAGTCCTTCATTTGCTCCCAGCACTTTTTGGCACATAGAAGAAGATGCTAACAATTGTTTGTTGAATGAATGTATAAACAAATGGATGAATGAATATACTGAGGTAATTTATTCATAGAGGCACAGATGGCTGTGAGAGATGAGCAGTAAGAATAAGTTAATGTCAATCAAAGGACCAGGAGAAAACCCATAGAACAAACTGTCATTTAAACTGTGCCGAAAGAGAGATACATGTAGACATCGGAAGAGGGGTAGTTCAGGCAGAGAGAATATTGTGAGCAGAGGTAAGGTAGTAGGAAAGCTCAGAGTTTTAAAGAACACCAAAGAAAAGAGTATAGCACGCCTGAGAGAACATGGGGTAAAAAAAAAAAAAAAATACACATGGGGACTTCCATTCTGGAACGGGGTAAACAGATTTACCTTCCCACCTACAACAAACAAACAACCACTAACAACCAACATAGTATTTTTTTATGTGTTTACGACACTGGACATCAAATAACAAAACGCAATGATCCCTGAGCGCAGGAAAGCAACACGATAAACCACACAATTAACACGGCTCACTGCCTGGATAGTTTGCAGGCCACAGAGCAGGGAGAGCCCGGGAGGAGCTCAGTGGACTTGGAGTTGAGGAGGCAGCACTGAAAATCCAGGAAGATGAAGGCAGCTAACGTTTGCAGTCCAGACTGCAAAGAGGGAGCTCCAGAGGTTTGCACAGAATGTCTCTCAGTGCACGTGTGGGAGGAAACTACCAGAGGTCCAGGAAGAAAGCAACCAAGAGGATCAGAGAGAACAGTGCCCAGCATGCATGGGGCAGGGACAGTGCCCACTCCCTCCTGAGAACCTAAGGGTTCACAGGACACTGGGTAGAATACACTGGGTCCTGCCTCAGCAGTGGAGAATCAGCTGTAGACTGGCCATTACTTTGATCCTTCACAATAGATCTTAAAAGCAAGATCCAAAGGATCAAACTTTTCCAGGTTACTTTAATTATACCCTAGGACAAAACTCAAGTTTATATGAACACAAACATGCCCAGAGCCCAAGAAGATAAAATTCACAATGTATAGCATCTACTCAAACATCACCAGGCATGCGGAGAGGCTAGAAAACATAAGCCACAATGAGGAAATAAATTAAGGAATAAAACATATTCAGAAAAACAAAGATAAGGATGACAGAAGATTTCTCATTGGAAGCAACTCAACCAAGAAGACAGTGAAGCGATATCTTTAGTAGCAACTCACACAGAACCAATAAAGATGTTAGAGTTAGCAGAAAGAACATTAAAAGAATTTATAATTATATTCTGCAGGCCCCAAAGATTAGGTAGAGACACAGAAGATATATGTTTTTATTTATTAATATATTTTTATTTATTTCAGAGAGGTAGGGAGAGGGAGAGAGAGATAGAAACATCAATGATGAGAGAGAATTTGGCTACCTCATGTGCCCTGATAGAGAATTGAACTTTGACCTTCTGGTTCATAGGTCAACACTCAACCACTGAGTCACACTGGCTAGGCCAGAAGAGATATATATATCTTTAAAACCCAAGTTGAACTTCTTAAAATGACAATTATAATGTATGAGATGAAAAATACATTGGCTAGGATTAACAGCAGGTTAGACATAGCAGGAGGGGAAAAAAAATTAAAGAATCAAAAAATATAGCAATAGAAAAAAAGAGAAAAGATAATAAAAAACTGAACAGAGCAGCAATGAGATATAAGACATGTATTATAATTACAGTCCTGGGAGTTGGGTTGAGAGACTAAAAATTGTTTGAAGAAGTAGCAGTGAAACTTTTTCCAAAAGTGATGAAAATTATAAACCCATGGATGAAAGAGACTCAGCAAACCCCAAGTACAAGAAATATACACCAAAGTATGTAATAATCACATTACTCAAAAAAATATACACCAAGGTATGTAATAATCACATTACTCAAAAACAGTAACAAGGAGAAAATGTGAAAAGCAGCCAATATGGAATAAAACATATCCAAGAAAAACAAAGGTAAGGATGACAGAAGATTTCTCACTGAAAACAACTCAACCAGGAAGACAATGAAGCAACATCTTTAAAGTTCTGAAAACAAACAAGCAAACCAAACACTGGGAACCTAAAATTATATAACAACAAAAAGATCCTGAAAAATCTAGGCAGACTAAGGCTGTTTTCAGACAAACAAAAGCTGAACGAATTCGTCACCTGCAGAAGGACCATGTGGAAATAGATTTTGAACTTTTGCCCAGTGACCCTCTGTCTACCAGTCAAAAGTTCAATTTTGTCAATAACCACAGTGGTTTATAAAGAAGAGTTTGTGCAATTATTTGTAAATACAAGGAATTGAGCAATTTCATTCAGCCCTGATTCAGGATAAGCAGGGGTTCAGGCCTGCTTATTTATAAAGAAGAGTTTGTGCAATTATTTGTAAGTACAAGGAATTGAGTAATTTCATTCAGCCCAGATTCAGGATAAGCAGGAGTTCAGGTCCCAGGTGTGACAGACATAATTTATCCAGCAATAGTTTGTATTTTCCCCTTTATAACAAGGAGAGGAAAATGAAAAATTTAAAGAGTTGATATTATTGATGGAATGCACAGTTTTCATAAACCTTATGCAATAGAGTTAGGAATAGAAAACATCATGTGTGTAAAAATAGGTCAGTCGATTGTGTTAGATTGTAGAGGACAAGGTTAATATGTCCAAAATGTTAGAAATATAGTATAAAAATGATGTGTAAAATAAAGATAATATATAGTTTTTCACTTTTAGAGAAAGGAAAAACTATATATTATCTCCCCACTCCAACTCCCATGAAGGCACTCATGTCTTTGTTGGATTGGGACATTAGACCTGTATGTAATATTTGCAGTGATACATTGTGTAACGATTATTGCTTATCTCATTTTTGATTCTTATAAGTATATTTCCAGTAGGATATGATCTCACTCATCTAGGGGAAATGGTGAACAACATAGATTGATGAACAAGAACAGACCCAGAGATAAGGAGCCATGGGTCAGACTATTGGACCTCAAAGGGAGGGTGGGGATAAAAGGGAGAGATCAACCAAAGGACTTATGTGCACACATATGAGCATAACCAGTGATCAAGGACAATAGGGGGGTAGGGACATGAGTAAGGGGGTGGGGATTGGAATGGGGGGTTGAGGACAAATATGTGATACCTTAATCAATAAAGAAATTAATAAAATAAATTTAAAAATTTTTTAAAGTGGAAAAGTTCTTAGTGGAACATAGTGTGTTATTTTCTCTCTCTGTTACCTTGTTCTACCTTCACAGGAAATTGGCATTGGGAAAATGAGCAAGTTATTCATGATCAGGCAAAGCATGCGATCACAAATGGTGGTGTGAGGTCAGTTAGACTCACCTAAAAACTCAAGAATTCTTTGGACATAAAATGAACAGTGTTCATGGTCATTAACTGCAGCATTTTACTATTGCAATAATAAGCATTCATATATATTTCCACTGACAGGATCTCAATATAGAAAACACATAAAGAGATTATCTCAACCTAGAAAACACATAGAATACTAATGACTCTTCAGATATGAACAATAATGCCAATTGACATGCCTTGTTCATATATCTGACTTTGTTATATGTATTAAATATTCACTCACTTAACAAATATTAAACATTAAAAAAATCAAGTATAGTACTGAAAAAGACTGGTCCCCCTTATAGTACCAGAACTCAAGAACATTTAAGATTTTAATATAACTTTAATTTTGTTTGATTTTCAGTCTTCTCCCATGTAGTAATTACCTTCGGTTCCGGCTCTAGTTCCTGGAAAAATTCTGACTCCTGCTGTTTCTTGAGCCCCTCTCCCTTCTTTAGGTCCCCGGGAATCTCGCCAAGCTTCAGCGAGTGGAGCACATTATGGCTGACTTCCCTCTCATAGTTAACCTCAAATTGCTTCATGATGTACTCTTCATCAATCCTCGTGCTTCCCTGGAAGAATATCACATTGCATAAGTCAAGGACGGATGGTGAAATGCTCCTTGCTTTCTTCTTTAATCTAAGGGAGGCATTTGACCACGGCTGGAGAAGAGATAGTTTGGAGGAGAAAACGCTCTGTCAGCATTCAGTGAAGACAAGAAGTATAGTTGACCCTTGAACAACAGGAGAAGGCGGCTTAGGAGGGCTGACCTCCAGCACAATTGAAAATCCTATATAGCGCTTGACTCCCCCAAAACCTAACCACTTTTGGTATTTGCAGGGATGGGGCTGTGAGTGGGAATGCAGGAGGGGAGAGTTACTCATTTTTCCTTGGGTATTTCCCATGTATATATGATGTATACAAGTTAATTAACTTCTGCTTATTTTTCTCTTGTTAATCTGAATTTGGTTCTAGGACCTTCCCACCACACCTTTCACACACCCCACAACTCCCCAGCCTGCCCCACACCCTGCAATGCTCAAGTTCCTTCTATAAAATGGTTTTAGTCAGCCCTCACACCTGGACTCCCAACCATGGCTAGAAAATAGTATGGACATTTATATTTTTTAAATCTGGGTATGAGTGAGCCAGCACAGTTCAAACCATCTTGTTCAAGGAGATCAACTGTATTTGGGCCTGGAGGGCTTTGCCTTAAAAGACAATTTAGGACCTGCAAGAAGCAGTGAGTCCCTGAGGGAATGAATGGGCCTGGGGAAAATTCAGTCTGTTTGACCAAAGCAAACTTCTCCAGTCCAGAGCAGTGGTCGGCAAACTGCAGCTCTGGAAACAGGATAGACATTACGTCTTTGTAAGCGAAATTTACAGTTATGAGGGAAATCTCCATTTGTAAGGGTGTCTCACTCTCTGTACCAGGAAGAGAAGGAAGACTCTAAATCCTAAGAAACGCTTGTCAATGGAGAAGATACACACTTACGTCCGCATAGCAAGCCTTAAGTTTACCTACTTTTCCTGGCCATCTCCTGACAACTTCTTTCCCCACACACTTCTTTCTTTCATCTTGTGCTGCAGATGGTCTGTAAGCCTGAATTCCAAAGCCATCTGGGAGAGTTACACATTTTTCCTTGGGTATTTCCCATGTATATATACATGATGTATACATGTTAATTAACTTCTGCTTATTTTTCTCTTGTTAACCTGAATTTTGTTATAGGAGCCCCTGAGAGAACTTAGAAACTAGAAGGAAAATTATATTTTCCTCCTCTACAGACTCAACGCAATCCCACTTTAAAAAATAGACACTGGGGAACACAGAGAGAATGAGGTCATTAACAACTGAAGCTGACGCTGGGGTGACATTCACAGAGAGAAGCCATGAAATAGACTCAGAAACATTAGCGTCGAAACCAGGGTGAAAGAATAATAAAGCAGAAATACAGCCAGCAGAGTCCGTGAGGTAAACAATAAAAGCATGGAAGGAAAGTATAAGTTAATGCTAAGGAGGAAACACCACAGGGTGATATGATGGGAGCAAAACAGGTAAAGCTGAGACCTTGGTTATAAGGGACTGAAAATGAAGCTTGTCACCTATAGGAAACATTTCTATTACAAATGGTGGAAGAGTCCTAAAGATTCCTTTATGACTTTGTTTGACTTAGTCAAACACTGTTTTTTAATAAAAGTAACTTTGGGTGTGACTTTAAAAGCGGTATTACTACTAACAATCGAAGCAGCCCAGTCGCAGAGGTCTCTAACTGACTTGTGGGCGTTTTCGTAGGGATCAGGACCATCTTTGTGGAGCGAATCCTTCTCACTGGTCTTCTCTTCAGAAGGCAATCGGCGTGGCTTCTTCTCTTTAGAAAGTGATTGGCGTGAATTCTTCGACAGAAGAGTCTTCTTGGGACTAAAGATAATGGGATCCTCAAAGAATTACAATATTAGCCACCATGAACCCAAATGGATTTCAAAAGGTATCATGGGGGAAAGGAGATCATAAAGCAGTATTTCCGACCGTTTCTTGCAAGCTCACACTAATTGTTTAAATTTTTCAAAGATTCCATTCCTATTATCAATAATCTAAAGATAACTATATCATGATTAGTTATAACGATGAAAGCTTATATAGCATTTTACCATTATAAGGTGATTTTTAAGATGATGAGTACCAGTTATTAAGACATGTGCCAGGTAAAAGCGTAAATTGCTATGCTTGGAGTCTGCCACGGCCTCAGACAATCCTGACAAGTAGGAGACATCCTTGGCCCCTCTGTCCCTCATCCCTAAAACCTATTAAGTCTGATGGATTGTAGTTCTGTCTGCTCTGGACTGCTGCAAAAGGCTCCTCACTGGGGTCTCTGAATCTTCTCTTAGGATCCCCAACCCTTAATCCCTAACCTGCTCTCTACACTGCAGCCAAAATAGTCATTTCAAAATATAAATCTGCTCATAATCAGCCACTCTTCATCCTTGATTATACCCTCTCCAATGGCTTCTTTTTAAGAATGGCGATAAGCTTACATGCCATAATAACTAGCTAATGGCTCACCGGGGGCCAAGAATTTAAAGATGCTCCCAGGGCCACACTGACCCACACTGTTGGAGTCCCCAAAGGGACCCCTTCACATAACACTGCTCCCCCCTCCCCACCCAGGCTCCGAGCAACTTGAAAAATAATGCAAGTTATGACTGACAGCAGCTACATTGGAAGACAGGGGCTTAGGTCCAAGAGGACTTGCTCACTGGAACCCAGATATGGGCAGACTGTCCAAGCCTGCCCTGAGCAGGGGGAGTCCCTCAAGAAGGAAGAAACAGAGGAGAACTTGATTCCCAGGGAAAGGGCAGAGCTGAGAGGAGTATCCTCAGTTGTTCTCCCCCAATGTACCAGGGGTACACCCAGGGGCCAGAACAGTAGAGTTTTGGTCACCTTGTGTCTCACCCTCACAAACATGGGTAATTTAATACAGTTAAATGTAATTTAATTTTCTCTCACTCCGCCTCGAGGTGGGTAACTTGTGCGACTAGCCAAGCTCTCCGTGTCCCTTCCAAACACCTGGCCGTGGTTCTGGGCCTCTGCCCGTGGTCTGGGTGCTGTGGTGGGCTTCTCCCTAGGACGCCTATGCTCTTCGGTGCCTGCAAGTGACACCAGTTAACTTCAAAAATCAAATGCATATCCCAAATCTACTTACATCAAGTATACATATTTCATGCATTTGCATTTTTAATTAAATATTCCATGAGTTGGGAAAACAAGAGTTGTTTCTATGGAAATCAAGCTCAGTGCTTTAGAAAGATTCAGTGAAGGTGTCATTACTGCCTCGGTTTATGCAAAAAAGATGACTTGGAAATCCAAGCAGTAGACCCATACTCAAAAAAAAGGCTTAAAATAAGATGATCTAGCTGAAACCGGTTTGGCTCAGTGGACAGAGCATTGGCCTGCAGACTGAAGGGTCCCAGGTTCGATTCCGATCAAGGGCATGTACCTTGGTTGCAGGCACATCCACAGTATGGGGTGTGCAAGAGGCAGCTGAATGGGGCCGGTTGCTTCTCCCCCCTTCTCTCTCATCGATGTTTCTCTCTCTTTCTCTCTGTAAAAAATCAATAAAATATATATTTTTAAAAAGATGCTCTAAGTAATTAAGTGTTATCTTTTACAATTCCCTATATTAACTTTTTTTGGGGGGGGCAGGGGGGAGCAAGCTATCCAATGAACTATTGGTCCCAATCATGTGACTAAAAGGGCTTCTGCCATATATAACTCAATGAGCCATGGTGGGCCAATTAATCAGGCTGCCTGCAGCGTATCTTTTCTCCCACAGCTCTCACTGAGTCGTGTGAACACACTCCTGTTTGCCCCATTGCTGGCTAATTAACCTCCATTAATTAAAAACCACGGTTTAGAGCGGGGCTCAAGGCTCCTTTCCTTTCTCCTTGGCAACTTGGTTACTTTTGCTTCTCTAAATTATTCTAAAAATGAGGAGCTTTGAGAAGGAAACTTCTAGAATGCTTCATCAGGTGACAGGAATAAGCAAGGGGCCTAGAACGATACTTACAGCTCCAAGGAGGCTCGGGTGGGACGTTTTGCAAGCAGTTTTGTGGGTTCCTTGGGGTCTTGGGTGGGACATTTTCCACGCAGTTTTGTGGGTTCCGTGGGTTTTTTCTCGACACCCTCACAATGAGCCCATGCGTCCTCCAGTTTCTTGTCAGGATCCAGCACTTCCAGCACCCTCTTTAAGAGCTACACACAGAAAACAGTTTTGGTGGAAAGAAAAATGTGGAGAATGGGGCCCCTTGCTTCTCCCCCCTTAACTTTTCCTTTCTAATCCGTCAACGCACTCCCTGGTTCCTGTGCAGACCCTGTGCTGGGTGCTAGGTAAATGTCCATGCCCTAGACATGGGGTAGGCAGCCTGTGGACCAAAATGGGAATGTGAATATACTGGTCTGCCCAGGCCCCATCTGCCCCACCCAAGTACTTCTACAGAATTTCTGTGGTTTTTGACTGTCCAGCACCCATTCTTCCTCCTATGAAGGAGAGTATCTAGGTTTTTCTTTGGAGAGCCATCTCTCTTTCCATTCTCACATCGAATGGTCTGCACTGGCCTGACCCCATTCTCACGTCCCAGGCAGGCCGATCCTCTCTGGACTGACCCAGTGACTGGTTTGAATAAGCACATAACCCAAGTTGGACCCACAGGAATCAAGATTCGGAATTTTGCTGAGCCTGTGCAAAAATAAATGCTTTTTTTTTTTTTTTTTCTGGGTAGAATTTAAATCTAGAGCTGCTGATGGTCATCACAGCACCATAAAAAGAGATCTGGCCTCAAAAAAGTGCCAACACACCTAGTTGGGAGGTCAAACATGGAAATAAGGGCACAACCCCATGAGCCATCTGAAGGCATGAAAACAGACTGTTTGCCGTGGCTCAGACACTCTGGCTCGCAGGAGGCAGGACAGGAAAGCCTTGCATGGAAAATAATTGGTTGGAAATCCTAGGTGTCCTTTCTCTAGACTTCTCTGCCATGGATCATCCATTCATTTATCCATTCATTCAGTATGCACAAACATAATTCATTCGTTATGTCAGGTATTGGTAGTACATGGTAAAAGACACAAAGTCACTGCCTTGTAGAGCTCTTATTCCAGGGAGGAGCCCAGTGTGGCAAGTGCTATGTTGAATAATAGGTCCTGGTAAGGACTAGTGCCTGAGAGCAGAAGGGAGATGGTATTTTATACAGCCTAGGTAGGAGGCATTCCAGCAAAGATCTGAAAGAAGTGAAGGAACGAGCTAGGCAGACATGGGAGGCAAGTGTCCCAGACACCGGCACAGAGATTTTAGTTGGAAATGTTGGTAACGTTCGCAGACAGAGCAGGCAGGGGCCAGCGTGGCTGCAATGGTGAGAGCAGAGCAGTAGGCGGCCAGGTTGGAGGGGGAGCAGGAGAGATGCAGGCAGGGAGCAGAACACACAGGGCCTCTAAGACAATGGCGAGGACTTCCCTCTGAGCAA